AAGATGCTACAGGAAAATTTTTGGCTTGGGTTATTAAAGGAAAACATTTTAAATTTTATGCTGTACAAGTTAGTGGGGGAATTGATGTGGGCGACTTGAAAAGTTATGTGGAAGCAAAAGAATATTATGGGGATTAAGATTAAGACGTACAGAAGTAAAAAAAATTTTTTTTCACTATTTCATGCTATACTTTAAGAAAAATTTTAACTAAAAAAATTATTCACTAATTCTTGTCGAATTTGTTATATTTTGGTCTAGTTTATTTTCTAAAGCAATTTGATAGAAATTTATCAAGAAAAAATTTTCGCTATTGCAATCTTTTTATTGTTATTCATCAATTTTTGCCAATTATAATTGTTCTTCCCAAAATTTCATGCTCACGCGATATGTGTGACACACCTAAATGTTAACGTTAATAATTTATAATTAATAATAAATTTTTTAATTAATTACAGTATATTTAAAAAATAATAACTTATTATTATATTTTAATAATCTGCAGTATTTGTTTTTTTTATTTTAAATTTTTAGTAACAATGTTATTGTCGCGAATCAACATGAAATCGGATTAACGTTAAAAATAAAGTTTGAGGTTTCTATTTATTGCGGTTTGCAAAAATATGTGAAATTTGCAGATCAAAAAAAAAAAAAAAAAAGAAATCGATGATTTCTGATTTCTTTAACATTTTTTTTTTGCAGAAATAGAAGTTGTAGATTCATTATTTTGTAACATATTTTGATTTAGCATCTTTTGTAGGAATATAATTTGCATATTCATCATGTTGTAAGAACTTGATTGTGTAATCACACAAGTAATGAGTTTATAATGGCTTCTCGGTGGCGAATGAGGAAGCCTTCATACGTAGCTTTCTCTTTCTTTTTTTTTTCTTAATTCTAGAGTCAAATATATTAGAGGTTAATGAGAACTTTGCTCTTAATAGTAAAAGTACAAATGAAAATGAATAAAACTTACTGTTTTTTCCGGCGTAGTCCATGTTGTCGTCAGTTATTTACAAGTCGTTAATTATTTACTATAAAAAATAATTAGTACGCGAAACATAACAGGTAAACAAAATAAGAAATTTCTTTAAAAACATCTTTCTACGTACGGATTTCTTAGAATGAAATAGATTGATGACAATCAACAACGAGTGAATTTGTTTTCTGCACTGAAGCCATTTAAAGAAATCGCGTAATTGAGTACCAGGGCCCCTAGAAAATTTCGGTATCATTTTGGAAAAATTGGTTTGGTAACGACCAAATATTGTTTTTTATTGCGATATCAAATTTAGTATCATTTTTGCTGATCAAAACGTATAATAT